TATGAAGCATGGCATTAGTTTTCACTGTTATGCTGATGATACGCAGATCTATATGTGACCCTGCCTGTGAAAACCCAGCTAAAGTCATTTTTTTGTGATTCACTGTTTTCTACATAAAATCATCCTACATAATGTAAAGAACATTCTGTGAAAATATAACATTGATATCTTTAATATTGACTGAGTAAGGCTATGTCAAAGATTTGCTGAATTTCAGGCTCAGAAAATCGTGTTTTGGAGAAATTCCGATTTTAAAAAAAGCTTATTTTTAAAACTTAACACATTTGATCCATAATTATCCTCCATATGTGCCATATACCACATTAAAGCTGAGATTCTCCCCTTTTTAGGGATATATGACACATTTATGGGAAAATTCTTAAAGTTTTGTAAAACAGACCTATTTATTATGATGCGCATGTCCAAAAAGCTAAAAGCATAAAAACATTGAAACGAATGGGGCCACCACAAGAGCTTGATTGTAGCAACAATTACCATGTCAATTCAGTTGAATGATTTGTATAACTTTATTAGTAAAATGAAATATCAGTGAAAATATAATATCAATAATATAGCAATTAATTAACATATAACATTTCGGTAGAAAATCTCATTCTCTTACTGAGCCATGGTGTAACATTGAGTAAATCTGGAGTAAAAAATAAATAAATACAATTTCAAGGGATAGTTCACCCAAAAATTAGAATTCTGTCTAAATTCCCCCATCCCCTCCCTCCCTCCCTCCCTCATGTTGTTCCAAACCTGTATGAGTTTCTTTCTTCTGCTGAACACAAAATAAGATATTTTAAAGAATGCTGGTAACCAGACAGTTGATGGCACCCATTGACTTCTATAGTAGGAAAAAAAAAAAAAACTATGGAAGTCAATGGGTGCCGCCAACCGTCTGGTTACCAGCATTCTTTAAAATATCTTATGTTGTGTTAAACAGAAGAAAGAAACTCATACAGGTTTGGAACAACATGAGGGGGAGTAAATGATGACAATTCAAATTTTTGGGTGAACTATCCCTTTAACAGGTCAGTCTCAAATTTTGTACACATTCTAAAATTGTCTAGATGCAAAATATAAAATTGTCTAGATGGAAATAAGAGTATGTACATAAGCAGCTCCATAGAGACTACACAGTCAATTAAGCTAAGCCAGTTTCATTTTTTTGGCAAGACCATGTGGGGTCTTTTTTGGTCTTCTAACACCATGGGTGTGGGGTGGAGCAGGAGTCAGCACCTCTGCATGGACAACTTTGTTGTTTTCATCACTCTGAACCTTGTTCTGCATTGTTGGATTAGGGCATACCAGATCGTCCTCATCATCATGTTGGTCACTGCCTGAAAAAACAAGGAGAATTTGTTCAATTAAAAGCAAGAGATCTAAATGGATTTATGAGATATGTGATATTTTAAATGTAATATATTAATTAAATGTAGATATGAGTTATATTTAAATGTAAATACACATTTAAAATGGATAATGAATCATTTTATATGAAAATATCAGACTGAATCTGATTAATTGAGTGGATGACATAGGGATAAGAAACAGGTAGGCTATGGATATGGCCATGGCTTCAACTCAGAGTGTAATCAAACAAAATAAACATCATGTCATAAACGTAATTAACTTAAACTGACTCAATCAACAAATGTAATAAACATTTAAATCCACTATTTTTGCATCACAGGATGAATTCAGTGTTAGCATAACGTTACATTGGCTGAACACTGACAAAAAAGAATGACAAAAACTTACCGTTAAATTCCTCGTCAGTTTCGTCAAAGAGTGTGTCCTGTTCATCATCACCATCATCCTCCAGAAAATAATCTGCTATAAAACCGGTTAAATCATAATTTGGGGCAATTCCACCGAGATTAATATCTAACAAGTTGTTTAAGCGATCCGCTATTTTACGTTCCTGCTCATGCTTCGGTGCTGCCATGTCAGATGTCAAAATGACGCAGTAACGTTACTCCAGCAAACAAATTATATTATTGACACATAGCAGGCCTAAACTGTTAAGATTAATCTTATTGGCAGAATACTGAGCTACAAAACAAATAAGCTGTTCTTAAATGTTTGGCGATGACACGAAAAATCTCCTCAGACATCTGAACCCGGCTGAAGTCGCATTTTTTTTTCATTGTGTTGACCTGATTGCCGCTCGTGCGGATTGATATTAAGGTCTGTTTACTATTTCTAATAGAAAATAAGTAGAAAAGAACTGAATGATATAAGAATCAGCAGGTGTTGTTGCGCCGAAAAATAAACAGAGAGACGATTGAAATCAATGTTTAGGAAGCCTGCGTCCGTTTTTTTTTTTTGCGCAAAAGTATAACGTAGTGTCAATAAAATCATTAATTTTAGTATTTATCATGTTATAAAGGAAAATTTGAGTATTGCATCTCAAAGCCCTTGTAATAATCTATCATTTACAGCAGTAAACACACATGACCTATTTTTGTCATTTTTATGGCTATGACTACTTTGACGCTCTTTTACTCATAATTAGATTCTGCGACTTTAGCCGGGGGTTCACAGGCGGGGTCACATATTTCTTCACACCCTGACGAAACTACCATTCCCTCTGCAACCCGAACAGCATCCACAACAGCTAGGTCTGCTAATTCTCTTGAGTTCAGCTTCAGAAGGTTGTTGCTATCCTCTTCGAAGGGGTTTCCCATTTCCTCAATCACGTCAACCAACTTGCATGTCTTGAATTTCCGCAGGACACTTTTGGCCTGTTCATGATGTCTATTTTCAGAGATGCCCTTACTTCTGAACTCCTTTGCATTCTCAAGATATTCGGGGTGATTTTTGACCAATTTCTCCCCTTCCGACAATGCCAGGTAAAGTCCAGATTATCTTGATGTTTCTACAGATCAAGCTCGGAAGAACGTCGGAACCGCCCCGATCTCGAATTGAATCGAATCAGAAATCCTGTTGTGTGAGGGGAACCCCGGGGACAAACAGGCACACGCTCTGGAGATTATCACGTGAAACTAAACAATACCCATTCAGAAAGTGAGCTGACGGAAGACTCACCTCCAGCTCATGCTGTAACATGTAAAGTTCATGTTCACACAGTCTCCACGATTTCATCTAAACAATTTTCTTTTTTTCCCCCGCAAATTTTCTGTAAGGGTAGGGACACACCCAACCAATGCAAAAGAACAAGCGCTGATAAAAGCCGACTAAGTCGGCCGATGCTCAAAATTTGCCCGACGGCGACCACCGGCTTGGTGTCCCCCTGGCTTAAAAAGCGATCCATACACTAAGAGCACCATTTCTTCTTGCCGGTCGTCCGCATGTTTGGTGTGCTTTCGTGTTCACATCGCGGCACTCCACACACTAGAGCAACAAAATGGATAAATCTATGAATTTTTATTGTCATGTTTGTGGTCTCACATTTTAAAAATATATATATATTTTTTTAAATCTTTTAGTGTGGCCCCAGCTTCAGATGATATTCTCAGATACTGCGATTTCATTGTAATCCTTCTCACAACGTCACTGAATTCACCATTAACTATTCACCTGAAGAGTTTATGATGTTGTATATGGTAGCATTGTAATACTTGACCATCAAAACATAGGGGTAGACATCACATTTTCCGTGTTATGTTTGGTTCAGGAGATATAATACAAAATGCATAATTCAGTTATGGCGGAAAGCAAAATGGCCGCATAGCCACCACGAGGCGGTTTTCCGATGGCTCCATTTCTGAAAATGTTCTGGGCCTCTGGACGACTGTACATGTGTACCATGTTCATGCTTTTATGAAAAAGTGAAAAAAAATTTCACACATCACCTGGACTATAAAGCCTATTCGAACAGGACTAGTTTTCATTGAGGACGTTAGAGAAATTTGTGTTTCACAGGCGTACTTGGAGATTTTAATGCTGTCCGAATCTTCTATGTCTGTGTTTTTCTCACTCCTCTGAGAAATTGAATCCCGTCTGAATGTTTTTTCAAAACATCTAATGATGTCATGATGCTTATTGAGTTGGCTCGCGTGACTACTGTACTTTGGACCTGACTGAGCTGACCTGCTCTTATTTCTACAAAGCGCGCCTTCCAAAAAGCCCAGAGTGATCTGATTGGCCAGCTGAGCCAGTGCGTTGTGATTGGGCGTGTCGTAAATGTAACTGCCCTTACCATAATCATGAGCTTCAGCTTCCAAGACTTCTAAAGCAATTGTAATGTCGTTGGCATTACTGTATCAGTTGGAGCCCAAGATTCATCGAAACACAGCGCCTCCACAAAATGGCAACAACATAACTTTTTAGGCAGGTTTGGAGCAGTGTTCTCTATTACATAGAATAATTCCCTTTTTTGGGAGACTAAGAGATTTGTAACTTTGCAGATCTTATACATGTGCACACACAGATAAATTACACACTAAAGGAAAAGGAAAACATTAAAAAGCATCATATGACCCCTTTTAAAAAAAAAACTTTTATTTTTTTGATCACTTTTAATCTTTACACCAGAAATCCTGCAGATCATACAGACTTTGTTCTCCAACCTCCAGCCTATCACATGATTGTCGCTTTCAGCTGAGATGCAAGTGTCTCAAAAATACATTGCTGCTCCACCTCTGTGTGCAGTGTGAATGCTCTCTTGGCACTGAGCATGGGCAATGAAAAAAGTATTTACTGCATATGCACTGCAAACGGATTGTGTGTAAAAAAAAAAGGTGTTAGGAAAACAATAGGGCTTAATCCTTAGAAAAACAATCAGGTCCTTGGCGCTTTTAGTGCTTTAGTGCTAATAATTTTTAGCAAAACAAGTTTCAGAAACTTGGGAAAAGTACAGTTATGTAGAATACTTCATTACTGTACACTACTGACAATCACATCATATTTCTATAGAGGAGAGAAATCCGCTACTATTAATATTCTCATTTCTCTTGATTGAATTTGTATTTCAGCCTTTTTCCAAAAACAGATGTTGAGCTAACACTATATAACCTTTTCCAATGTAGTGTTGCCTGCTGTCCTTCCTCAAGTGGAAACCTTAGAGAACGCGGTGAGCACGCAGACCACCCTCCTGAGAGAATCTCTCTGGCCCACCATTCCTCTCCAGCCTCCCTACCAGACCACCACCCAGAGACCCCCTTCCTCCACTGACATGGCCCTGTTTTCTGAAGAGCAGACCATACAGCAACCAGAAAACTCATGTCACAAGGTTAACATTTTTAATTCAGCACTTGATTTCATGCAGAACTACTGCATCATAATGTATTCATCATAGTAAATGACAGTGATGAGCAAGTGCTAAATGATTGATAATTGTTGATTGTCCTCTTGAAATTGAAGACTTCTTGTTGGTGTATTGGCAGGTGTTTGTACTGAGTGAATTAAGCATGTTTACATGCACGCTTTTTTACATGCGTTAAAAAAAGCATGTTTACATGCACGCGTTTACATGCATTTAATTAACCCATTATCCTGGTTTACATGCAAACCAGTAAAAAGCAAGGAAACCTGGGTTCCCTTTCGAACGGTCACTTCGTATTGCGTAGCTATACGCAGTGGGGAAACTCCTTTTCCTCGATTTACTGAAACCTATATGTAAAACGCATTTGCAGCTGCACAGCCAGCACACTGAGCGTCTGGCACGCTCATAGGCTGTGCTGCCGCAACTGCACAACCAATGGCGCGGGCGACTCTGACCTGCAGCCAATGAGCTAGCTCAACGTCAGCCCGTCAAGGGGGTGTGGCTTAGCCTATAAAAGACCCCCGAATTCGCCATTATAGCAGATTTTACTCCTTCAGCGACAGTATACATGTCCCTGAGCCTTTTACTGTGAATTCGCCGTCGAACAAGCCTTTCAGCCTGAGCGAGCTTCTCTTCAGCAGACTTCGCCTGCATGCCGTCGTCTCCTGACGCCGTCTCACCTGTGGCTATCCGGCGACATCCTATATCCTTTCTATTATTGTGTTTGTTTCAGAATGCCTCGTTCATCCTGCGCCACGTGCGGAGGCCGTCTGCACGAGGCAGACCAACACGAGAGCTGCGTTTCCTGCTTGGGTGTCGACCACGCGGAGAATGCACTCTCTGTCGGCGGATGTGCGGCCTGCGACTGCATGCCTATCTCCGTGCTGCGCAATCGGCTAGCTCTCTCTCGAGACGGCGATGCCGCTTCAACCACGCTTCCCATTCCGAGGAAGAAGAAGCGTCGCAGCCAACGGCAACCGGAGGGTATGGAGATTGGTGAACGCACGCCGGCCGCGTCCCCGCGTGCTTCACTTTCTCCGACTCAAACGCCATCACCGGTCCGGTTCACAGGAGACCAGCGCCCCCCCCCCCCCCCCCCACACGTGGCGGGCCTCGTCTCCTTCGGCGGATCTCTCGAGCGCGACGACAGCATATCCATCGCCGCTTCTGAGGACGAATGGCCGGGCTCTCTCGACCCCGTCTCCGCTTCTCAATCTGTGGCCAGTGGATTAGCGACCAGGACAAACTCCGACGCCGAAATGCTTCGGATCCTGACGAAGGCCGTCGCGGACCTCGAGCTAGAGTGGGCCTCGCCCGAGGAGCCGCCTCGTAGTCGGCTGGATGGATGGTTTCTGGAGGGGCGCCAGCAGGCCCCGCGTCACAAACCGGCGCCATTTTTCCCCGAGGTCCACGAGGAGCTAACCAAGGCCTGGCGCGCTCCATACTCAGCACGTGTGGGATCTGCAGTTTCCGCGACGCTCTCCTCCGTGGATGGCGCAGCGGAAAAGGGTTATGAGTCTTTGCCGCCCCTTGAAGAGGCCGTGGCAGCTCATCTTTGCCCGAGCACTGCAGCTAGCTGGCGAGCTAGAGCCGCTCATCCCAACAAACCCTGCCGAAACACCTCAGCCCTCGCTGGACGCGCGTACTCCGCCTCCGGTCAGGCTGCATCGGCCCTGCACACGATGGCCGTGTTGCAGGTCTACCAGGCCAAACTCCTCCGGTCCATGGACGAGACTGGCCCGGACCCGGAGACCTTTCGAGACCTGAGGAGTGCTACAGACTTAGCGCTGCGTGCTACTAAGGCTACAGCACAGGCCATCGGAAGAAACATGGCGAGCTTGGTCGTGCTCGAGCGCCATCTTTGGCTTAACCTCACTGAGATTAAGGACGCCGACAGAACGAGGTTTCTCGACGCCCCGGTGTCCAGCTCCGGGCTCTTCGGCCCGGCGGTGAAAGGATTCTCGGAGAGGTACACAGAGGCACAGAAAGCGTCCCAGGCCATGCGACACTTCTTGCCGAAACGTTCGAGCTCCGCGACCAGCAAGCCCAAGCCGCCGCCTTCGCCTCATCCAGCCAAGCCGGTGAAACAGGCCTCTCAGCCCCGCCCTGCGGCTGATAGCCAACGCCAGCCAAGGCCCGCGAAGCGCTACCCGCTCCCCAGGCGTCAAGGCCCTCGACCCAGCGCCGCGGCCGACCAGGTGCCTCCGAAGTCGTCCTAGCACGGAGAGGAAAGAGAGAGGGCTCGTGTCTCGCGCTAGCCGGACCACCCTCGAAAAAACCGGCAAAACTTCCCACAGCTCCCTGTTCAGTTCAGGCGGCTGGGGATTTTATTATTGTAAACAGGCCCGCAGCAGTGAGCGCGTCTTTGCAAACAAACGCCGTTTTCACGGCGACCCAAATAAAGCACAAAAAGAGTATGTTTCACAATCACATCACACGGGTTCACGGTCCCCCTTCACTAGGCGGCCCCCGCCCTGTTGTAAGACTGAAATCCCCCCGGGCAAAAGCCGGTATAATCAGTCAAACACTCAGTATGTGCACAAATCACAGTGTAAGGGTATCAGGTCCCCCTATGTTAGGCGGTCCCCCCCATTCAGTGTGTCAAGCCCTAGCCACACGGGCGTTGGCCTGGCAAGCCATCCCTGGTGTGTCGAGTTGGGTCATAAACACTATAAAGCAAGGCTACTCGCTCCAATTCGCTCGCAGACCCCCGAAATTCCAGGCGGTTATCGAGACATCGGTGAGAAGCGGCGTGGGTCACGTGCTTCGCACCGAAGTTCAGAATTTATTAGCAAAAGGAGCAATAGAGTCAGTCCCTCCCGCGCTAATGTATTCGGGGTTTTACAGCCGCTATTTTCTAATTCCAAAGAAAGACGGCGGGCTCAGACCCATACTAGATCTGAGACGTTTGAACAGGGCTCTCATGAGACGGCCTTTCAGAATGTTAACACTCAAACAAATTCTCGCGCAAGTTCGCCCGGGGGATTGGTTTGTTTCAATGGATCTGAAAGATGCATACTTTCATATTCAGATCGACCCTCGTCACAGGCCATTCTTGAGATTCGCCTTCGAGGGGAGGGCATATCAATACACCGTTCTGCCGTTCGGTCTGTGTCTGGCACCCCGTACATTCACGAAATGTATGGATGCAGCGCTCTCCCCGCTAAAAAGCCAGGGAGTGCGTGTGCTGAATTATCTCGACGACTGGCTGGTGCTAGCGCAGTCGAGAGACGAACTAATAATTCACAGGGATTTGATTCTCGGCCATTTAAAATGCCTGGGTCTCACAATCTATGTTGCCAAAAGCGAACTGAACCCCAGCCAGACTGTGGTCTTTCTAGGCACGGTTTTGGACTCGGTGACAATGAAAGCGCGGCTCACTCAAGAGCGCGCGCTATCTGTGCAGACACTGGCAGCCGCATTCAGGGCGCGCGAGCGCGCGCCTCTGAAGAGGTTTCAGAAACTGCTTGGTCTAATGGCAGCCGCATCATCAGTACTCCACATGGGATTACTGCGCATGCGCCCGCTGCAGCACTGGCTGAAACGCCGTGTGCCAACCCATGCATGGCAGTCAGGCAGCCTGCGCATTATGGTGAATCACGGGTGTTTAAGAACACTGATTCCCTGGCGGGCTCAGGACTGGTACCGCGAGGGGGTGACCATGGGGGTAGTTTCCAGGAGGAAGGTGGTTTTTACAGACGCATCCAACCTGGGTTGGGGAGCGCTGCACGAGGGCAGGCCTGCCTCCGGCCTCTGGTCGAGCACGGAGCAGAGCTTACATATCAACTGTCTGGAAATGAAAGCAGTTGGTTTGGCCCTGAAAGCGTTTCTGTTAAACCTCAGGGGTCACCATGTCCTGGTCCGTACGGACAACATGTCAGTGGTGGCCTACATAAATCGCCAGGGTGGCATCAGGTCGGGCAACCTGCATGCTATGGCGAGGGACCTCCTCCTATGGGCACAGGCCAACCTGAGCTCCCTGAGAGCAGCGCACATCCCGGGCGTCCAAAATCTGGGCGCGGATATGCTCTCACGGGGCAACACTCCCCTAAGCGAGTGGTCTCTGAACCCTCAGACGGTCAGTCTGATATAGGAGAGATTCGGCTAGGCCGAAATCGACCTTTTCGCCTCGAGAGCCAACACCCACTGCAGGGTGTTTTTCTCGAAGAACAGGGACGCGCTGGCCCATCCCTGGCCCAACCGCCCCCTTTATGCTTTCCCCCCCATCTCGATGGTCCCACAAGTCATCGAACGGGTCAGGGAGAGCGGATGCCCAGTCCTTCTGGTGGCTCCTCTCTGGAAATCCAGACCATGGTTTCCGGAGCTGGTTCAGCTGTCAGACACGGTCCCCTGGCCCGTTCCAATGAGGAGGGACCTCCTCACACAGGCCAAAGGGACGATAGGGCACCCCCGACCCGATTTATGGGCCCTCCATGTGTGGCCCCTAAACGGGTACCCGGGGGCCTTCCTGACAAGGTCTTAAGCACTATCTCTGAAGCAAGGGCCCCGTCTACTAGGCGTCTTTATGCTTTGAAGTGGTCGGGTTTTTCCAGCTGGTGCTCGAAAAATCGAGTTGACCCAGAGTCATGTGAGGTATCGGTGGTACTCTCCTTCCTGCAGGAGCTACTGGACGCGGGCCGCACCCCGTCCACGCTCAAAGTTTATGTGGCAGCCATCGCAGCGCATCATGCGTTGGGGGCTGGTCAATCACTGGGAAGAAATGACCTGGTGGTAAGATTTCTGAAGGGCGCTAGGAGAATTTACCCCTCCAGGCCCCCATCAGTACCTCCCTGGGACCTCTCCACGGTCCTCAGGGCCCTGAAGGGGCCGCCTTTTGAACCGCTCCGGTCGGTGGATCTAAAACCACTCTCGCTTAAGACTGCTCTCCTGTTGGCATTGGCATCTATCAAGCGGGTGGGAGATCTGCAGGCCCTTTCTGTGAGTCCGGCATGTTTGGAGTTTGGAGCGGATGACTCCAGAGTCATTCTCAAACCCAGGCATGGTTACATACCCAAGGTGCTCTCAACGCCGTTTAGAGCGCAAGTTATCACGCTATTAGCCCTTCCCCCTTCTGCTGAGGATGGGGAGGTTAATCTTCTCTGCCCTGTTAGGGCGCTGAGAGTCTATCTGGAGCGTTCTGCGTCTTTTAGACAGTCAGAACAGCTGTTTGTCTGCTTTGGTGGCCGATCTAAGGGTGGTCCAGTTACCAAGCAAAGACTGTCTAGATGGATAGTGGATGCCATTTCTATGGCTTATACTTCAGTGGGTCAGGTTTGCCCTATAGGTGTCAGGGCCCATTCGACTAGAGGCATGGCCTCGTCATGGGCGTGGTCATCCGGGTTTCCCATTCAAGATATTTGTGATGCGGCCTGCTGGTCCTCGCCTTCCACATTTATGAAGTTCTATAATATGGAGGTGCCTTCCCTGCAGGCGAAGGTTCTTTCAGTATGATTAAGACTCGATGCTGTCTGGTCTTGTCTACAAAAAATTACTGTGCATAATCACATACATACACATATAAAACCCGCTTAGGCCGGTTATGAATTGTACTAATAATCCCGACAGTGTCGGGGTTTGTTAGCATATTCTGTTGGTTGTTACTGACTCATATATTATTCAGGCCTGACAGTGTCTGGTCTGTTATATATATATATTTATATATTGGGTTCTGGCTTGTTCTGTTAGCTCAGGGGGCCTGAGTTGCAGTGCAACCAGTTACTAAGGGTGCGGCGTTTTACAGGGCGTCCCCACTGCGTATAGCTACGCAATACGAAGTGACCGTTCGAAAGGGAACTACTCGGTTACTATCGTAACCTCAGTTCCCTGAGAGAGGGAACGAGTATTGCGTAGCCGGCCGCATTTAGTAACTGGTGAAGTTGTCGCTTCAGTCGTTTAAACCTGCTATAATGGCGAATTCGGGGGTCTTTTATAGGCTAAGCCACACCCCCTTGACGGGCTCTGACGTTGAGCTAGCTCATTGGCTGCAGGTCAGAGTCGCCCGCGCCATTGGTTGTGCAGTTGCGGCAGCACAGCCTATGAGCGTGCCAGACGCTCAGTGTGCTGGCTGTGCAGCTGCAAATGCGTTTTACATATAGGTTTCAGTAAATCGAGGAAAAGGAGTTTCCCCACTGCGTATAGCTACGCAATACTCGTTCCCTCTCTCAGGGAACTGAGGTTACGATAGTAACCGAGTAGTTATTCCTGGTAGTGATGTAAAAACGTAATCATTTGTGTATCTGAATCTAATTATTACATTTGTTATGTGAGTTGTATGCATTTGAGATGCACGATAATACAGTTGGAAACGGTGCCATTTTGCAAGTAGAATGCAGTTAAATGTGTGAACTTTTCTGCTGATATTTCCAGTTCTCATGAAGCTCATCTCTGGCCCCATCTCTTATTCTACTTTCCGTCTTTGTCTTGCAGATTGGTCACTCATCTGAATGGGTTCAGATCAATGGAGAGTTGAACACTGATGTTTCCAGTAATTCCCTTGGGTTACCTTACATTTCTTTGTCAGACATTACTGAAAGATTTATGCCACATTCTCTGCAAACTGCTATGTGGGCAGATGACATATTACGACAGTTCTCTTACGAGAGGTTCTCTCGTATTGCGTAAGCTAGCTTACGCTGCGGGAAAGATTCATCTTTGCTGAGATATTGAAGCCAAAAAATTATTTCATAATTTTGTATCCATACACAACGCAGTTCCTCTGCGGCAGACCTAGAGCGGGCTAGCTAGCAGCTCATTGGTTCGCTCAGAGAGAACTGCTTAAGCCTATGGGAGAGCGGGGCTGAACCCGCTTCCAATGAGAGGCGCCCGCGCGCTCATTGCGTCATGACCCGCCAGAATGGGCGTGTCCATGGTGTATATAAGGCGCTCTCCCAGGCTTATATGTTGATTCATTTCATCTTCAGCAAGCTGCACGCTTCTGCTGTTCCTGAGAAAAGCCATCGCCGTCGAAGAAGGCATCCTCTAGCGAGCTCAAGGACCCTGAAGAAGCCGGCCGTCTTCGCCACCTTCAGCCGCCCAGCAAGCTAGGCCATCCGACGATTGTATCCTTTCTCTATTTCTAAAAGAGCCGAGCGTCTTTTTAAAGATGTCTCGTTTTTCCTGCGGCTCTTGCCGCGCTCGTCTCGAGGACGGAGACCGCCATGTCATCTGCGCTCTCTGCTTGGGACTCGAGCATGCAGAACTCGCCCTCGCTGATGGAGGATGCGACCTCTGTGAAAGCCTGCCGTTATCGTCCCTGCGGGCACGACTTCTGGCAGTGAAAACCGCTCCCGCGCCGCCTATTCTCTCGCCGCGTAAAAAGAAACGCCGCTCTCAAAGGCCGCCGGAGCCCCCAGCGGAAACATGCGGGCCGCCGCCGCCGCCTCCCGCTTCCCGCTCTCCCTCCCCGCCCCTGCCGGACTTTCAGTTGCCGCCGAGTGGCCGCTCTGTTGTTTCCGATGACGCCGCGGAGGAGAAGGACTCCTGTTCACTGCTCGCTTCTGACAGTGAAGACTGGTCATCTCTCGGATCCGCGAGAGAGTCGACGGGGACCCGCGCCGGGATAGAAGAGGAGCTGATGCGCCTCCTCTCACAGGCCGTCGAACGCCTCGGTCTCGAGTGGTCTCCTCCACCCGAGCAGGCCCCGAACCGAATGGACGGTAGCTTTTTTCATCGGCGCTCGACCCCCGCGTGCACCCGGGCCGCTCCATTCCTGCCTGAACTTCACGCAGAGCTGACAAAATCCTGGAATGCACCGCTCTCGGCTAGAAATCGCTCCGATGTATCCGCCTCGCTGCGCTCGGTGGACGGAGCCGCCGAGAAAGGCTATGCAGCCTCTGCCCGCCCTCCGCTAGATGGCGTTCTTCACCCACGCTTCCTTCGAAGGCTTGCAGAACGACCTCGAGCTTTCATGCTCGCGCTTACGCCGCCGCCGGTCAGGCCGCCGCTGCGCTTCACTCTATGTCTGTCCTCCAAGTGTTACAGAGCGATATTCTCCGTGAATGGGCCGAAGGCGGTAGAAAACCCCCCCCCGCCGTCACGGATTTGAGAAGTGCTACGGATCTCGCCCTTCGCGCCACTAAAGCCGCCGCACAAGCTCTGGGGAAATGCATGGCCAGCCTTTGTGTTGCTGAGAGACACTTATGGCTCACGCTCGCCGACATGGGAGATTCTGAGCGCGCCGCGTTTCTCAACGCGCCCCTCTCCCCGACGGGCCTGTTTGGATCTGCCGTCACGGGAATTGTCGATCGCTTTTCTGAAGTACAGAAAGCTTCTCAGGCGATGAACTTGTTTCTACCCCGCCGCGCTAGCTCTTCAGCGGGCCGCTCTCACGAGCCCTCCGCCAGAGCCCCATCACAGCGCCCCCCTCCGCAGACTCAAACAACTCAGCGCAGTCAGAGCGGCCGCCCTCGCCCTCGCTCTCGCTCTGACAGCCGCCGCAGACCGCCGCCCCCCCGTGGGCCGCGACCCAAGATCACGCTGAAGCCTGATCATCAGAAGTCTGCCTAACAATGTCAAGAAAACGACGGTGCTCTCCCGCCGCGGCCGGACCGCCGTCAAAGCTTCGCCCTCTGCCAGTCCCCGTTATTTCGCCGACTGCAGTAGTGTTGACCGCCACAAACAAGCCGGTGTCCCAGCCCGCTTGCGAGCGACAAAAAGCCGTTTTTACGGCTACCCAGAGAAATCTCAAAAAGAGAAATTTTGCCAGTTGTGTAGAAAATGTGCCCACAATCATGTGTTCACCCATACACACAAGCATAACATATCCCGTGTCTCTATCAGAGCCCCATCACATGAAACGGGCACAGCCCGCTCTAATATCAGAGAACATAAACACGCCCACGAGCTCGTGCACGTGTCCCCTCTCTGCTCGCTCTGTGTCACGGCCCATAGACTCCTCTCTGAGTGCAAATCCCGTTGCCACACACATTCAAAGCGCGCCCACACACTGTGTCCAGCCCGCTATGTGCAGCAATCAGGGCAATACAGCCATTCGGCCACTAGCCGCATGCTCCAAAGCGTGGGAAGCCATTCCAGGCATTTCCCCGTGGGTGTTAAGCATTATAAAGAACGGCTACCTGCTACAGTTTCGCCGCCGCCCGCCTCGTGCGCGCGCGCAGCTCGAATCTTCTGTCAGCCCGCTGGCCGCCGGCACGCTCCGCTCAGAAATTGCGACGCTGTTGCAAAAGGGCGCGATAGAGAGAGTCCCGCCATCTATGACCGAGTCGGGGTTTTACGGCCGTTATTTTCTGGTTCCCAAGAAAGACGGCGGCCTCAGACCGATCTTAGATCTCAGGTCTTTGAACAAAGCGCTCATGAAGAGACCGTTCAAGATGCTCACTACCAGGAAACTCCTCGCGCAGGTGCGCCAAGGGGACTGGTTCATATCTCTAGACCTGAAAGACGCCTATTTTCAGATCCAGATAAATCCCCGTCACAGGCCATTCTTACGTTTCGCCTTCGAGGGTCTTGTTTATCAATACGCCGTTCTCCCGTTCGGCTTATCTCTGGCGCCCCGTACATTCACGAAGTGCATGGATACGGCGCTCGCCCCCCTGCGAAGCCAGGGGCTGCGCATTCTGAATTATCTGGACGACTGGCTGATTTTGGCCCAATCACAGACGGAGCTTCTGTCGCACCGCGCAGTTCTCCTCGACCATTTGGAAACGCTGGGCCTCTCTGTCAACTGGACAAAGAGCTCCCTTCATCCCAGTCAATCGATTTCCTTCCTAGGAATAGATTTGGACTCGGTCACGATGACGGCTCGCCTGTCTACACAGCGCGCGCACAGTGTTCAGCGTCTAGCCGCCTCGTTCCAGATGGGCACCCGCAGGCCTCTGAAAACTTTTCAGAGGATGCTGGGTTACATGGCCTCAGCCTCCGCTGTACTTCAGCTGGGCCTTCTGCACATGCGCCCGCTTCAGTTCTGGTTGAACAGCCGTGTACCCCACCGCGCGTGGAACACGGGTCGCCAGCTGATCAGGGTTACGCAAACGTGTCTCACGGCGCTGCAGCCATGGACAGTAGCAGAATGGTTTCGTCTAGGCGTCACGATGGGGACCTTTTCCTGCCGAAAAGTCATCTCGACAGATGCATCCAACACGGGTTGGGGTGCAGTCTGCGAGGGCTCACCGGCCTTCGGCCACTGGTCGATTCAGGAAAGCCCATTACATATAAACTGTCTGGAAATGCTGGCGGTCGAGAACGCGCTCTCGCACTTTCTCCCGCGCATCCAGGGACACCACGTCCTGATCCGTTCGGACAATATGGCCGTGGTCTCCTATCTCAACCGTCAGGGCGGTGTCAGATCCAGAAATCTCTGTCGACTGACGCACCGCATTCTAGTTTGGTCTCAGAGCCGCCTGCTCTCGCTCAGAGCGACGCACGTGCCGGGCCATCTGAACGACGGTCCAGACATACTGTCCAGGAACCTCATCTCCACAGGAGAATGGTCCCTGAACTCACAGACGGTCCAGTTACTGTGGCGACTATTCGGCAGAGCAGAAGTAGACCTCTTCGCGTCAGAAGAGAACGCTCACTGCCCAATATATTTCTCGAAGAGCGAGGACGCGCTAGCCCAGGAATGGCCTCGCCGCCCGCTCTATGCATTCCCTCCGATCGCTCTGTTACCACAGGTAATTCAGAGGATCAGGGACACACGCCACTCGGTGCTCCTCATAGCCCCGCGTTGGGAGAGTCAGAATTGGGTTCCGGAGCTCACGCAGCTGTCACAGACAGCCCCGTGGCCCATCCCAGTCAGAGCAGATCTCCTCTCTCAAGCTCGCGGCACGATCTGGCACCCCCATCCACAGCGCTGGGCGCTGCATGCATGGGTGATCAACGACTATTCGTTGATTTGCCAGAGGGAGTAAGAAACACTGTCATACAGGCTAGAGCACCTTCCACGAGAAGGCTCTATGCGTCTAAATGGTCTGTGTTCTCAAAATGGTGCACCGACAAACAGCTGGACCCACGGTCGTGCGAGGCCCCCTCCACTCTCAAGGTTTATGTGGCAGCCGTCGCGGCGTTCGCGGAACCCCGACGCGCTCAGTCATTGGGCAAAGACGAGTTAGTCATCCGCTTCCTCAGGGGAGCTAAGAGGATGAACCCTCCGCGGCCCCCGTCGGTTCCGGTTTGGGATCTTTCTATAGTCCTTGAAGCTATGAAAGCACCCCCGTTCGAACCGCTCGAGTCTGTGGATCTGAAATACCTCTCGCTCAAAACCGTTTTCCTGACGGCTCTGTCCTCAGTTAAACGCGTTGGGGATCTTCACGCGCTCTCATCCAGCGCCGCGTGTCTTGAGTTTGGACCGAATGATTCGATGTCATTCTCAAACCTAGGCATGGCTATGTCCCGAAGGCGATTGGTACCCCGTTCAGGGCTCAGATTATCTCCCTATCGGCTCTGCCTTCATCCGATAGTGAGCGCGATGCCAATCTCCTTTGTCCGGTGCGGGCTCTGAGATTGTACACTACGCGCGCTGCCGCGTTCAGACGCGCTGAGCAGCTTTTCGTGTCGTTTGGGGGGCGCACCAAGGGTCTGGCCGCCTCAAAACAGACACTGTCTAGATGGATAGTGGACGCTATCGCCTCTGCTTACGCATCTAAATGCCTGCCCTGCCCTCTGGGCATCAGGGCGCACTCCACTAGAGGCATGGCCTCATCGTGGGCATGGTCCTGTGGAATTTCCATTCATGACATTTGTGTGGCCGCGGGATGGGCCTCCCCGTCCACTTTTGTCAGGTTTTATAACTTGGAAGTTCCCGCCTTGCAGGCAAAATTACTAGCTGTCTGACGAACAGCTCTCTAAGAAGCTGCATTTCTGGAGGTCCCTCACAACCGGTTCGCCCCTTGTGCTCTCCTGTAATGCTTATACACTTCATGTGCCCGCTCTGCTGGCCCCATACATGCTTATGTGTACACTTCATGAGCCCGCTCTGCGGCCTCTTTGTACATTCACTCCACGTTAAGAAATTCCCCCGGTATATCCCTGGGTTTTTCATGAGTGGATTCGTAGCGCGCACGGCGTTGGCCAGGTGTTCCCGCAGCGTAAGCTAGCTTACGCAATACGAGAGAACCTCTCGTAAGAGAACGAATCGGTTACCTAACGTAACCTCGGTTCTCTCTAGAAGAGGGAACAAGTATTGCGTTCCCGGCCGTGCTTGCGCTACTAGCGTTTCGCTTCACGCTGAAATAAATCAACATATAAGCCTGGGAGAGCGCCTTATATACACCATGGACACGCCCATTCTGGCGGGTCATGACGCAATGAGCGCGCGGGCGCCTCTCATTGGAAGCGGGTTCAGCCCCGCTCTCCCATAGGCTTAAGCAGTTCTCTCTGAGCGAACCAATGAGCTGCTAGCTAGCCCGCTCTAGGTCTGCCGCAGAGGAACTGCGTTGTGTATGGATACAAAATTATGAAATAATTTTTTGGCTTCAATATCTCAGCAAAGATGAATCTTTCCCGCAGCGTAAGCTAGCTTACGCAATACTCGTTCCCTCTTCTAGAGAGAACCGAGGTTACGTTAGGTAACCGATTCGTTTTCTGACATTCATGTAGAGTAGGGATGGTAAGATTCACCGATTCGCATCGGTGCATCGGCATAAAAGCTAACTATGCGATGCATCGATTTAAATAAGTGTGCATCGGATACAAGTTGGCATTTGTATCGCGATGCATCGTTTCTAACATCTACATCGGTAAAGATTTATTCATATATAATTATTAGTAGATGCGCTATACTTTTACTATTTAGAAAGTGACCAATCATTTGTGACCAATATTTTATTATGTAACTTTTATTATTCACACTGAACGCAAATTGAGCATCTGTAGCGAGTGATTTCCATGTTAAGTCAATGTAAAGACACGTTGACGCGGGTCTGGAGGTCCTGCAGCGCGAGACGTGTTTAGCGCGGTGCCATGGACACAATTTCGCCTCATTCACGTGTCCAGGTCGACTAGATTGATTTCTCCTTTCTGAACTGTTGCTCAATCGCACTCTCTCATCACAACCATCACGACTGCTGCAGCTGCTACATGAATATGACATATCACAACACTACGGAGTGCGAGGCGTGTCCTGAGAGTCACCTACCTTTAAACCTTAAAGTAGGACATTAAGTTAATCTGGTTTACAGCAATGACTGCCAATAATAGTTTTTTTTTTTTTTTTTACATTTGAATACAGTTATGAAAGACCTGTTTGTGAAAGGTTTTTTTATTTTTGTAATCTTTTGGTTTTGTGAAAAAAGATGAAAGAACCATGCGTTAAAAGTTAGATGGCACTTAAGCTACTTTATGATTTGCTGTATGTCTGAATAAAAGAAATAAAAGTTAACTATCTATACCGTATTGAATTGCATTATATTTTTTCTCCATTGCATCATATTACATTGAATCGCATCGCGTTAAATCGAATCGAAATCGGATCGCACCGCATCGTAATAGTAGTGAATCATATTGCATCGCATCGGTAGCTGCTTATATGTATCTTTAATGTATCGTATCGTTGGCTATGCATCGAGATGTGTATCGCAAGGCCTGTCACGATAACAAATTTTGCTGGACGATAAATTGTCCAAGAAATTATTGCGATAAACGATAATATTGTCGTTCTGAGACCATTTACATCTAAAATAATGATAATGGCATAATAATGCAGGTACACCTTTTCAAAGATCAATAAACTTTTATTTCTAAAGACTATTTAACACTGAAAATGGAAAACATTTTAAATATCCACAATAAATGAACAAAACAATAAAAGCAATGGACTCTCAGTCTCTGTTACAAAAAATGCACTTGAATAAATACCAAAAATAATAAATAAAATGGATGTAAACAAAACCCGACCCTACCCTATGATAAATTATTTGTTATTAAAGCATTAACACACAAACCACTGTTAATTTAACATAAAAGCAAGCAGGCTCCTGCGTGCATGGTTTGCATGACTGAATGCGCGAATTTTTAATTCCTAAAAAGCTGACAGTTCATCGGGATCTCACACATCTCTGTTATTATCAATGAAGCTGACTGCACAATGAATCTTTCATAATATCCACACTTTGTTATAATCAGAGGATTTGCCAGCATACAGAATTCAGCAGTGAACAAAAAGTCAGTTTTGAGCGGTGAGGGAGTCTATCTTAAATGATTTCTTGAACGCAATGGCCAATCAGAAGCAACACATATGACTGTGATTGGCTACATCACTCAACGCTGCAAACATGTTATGAATAGAAACTCTGGCCTGTAAATCGTTTCTATTTTGTTTAGTCGTTCTTGTTGCTTTTCTGCAACGGATGAATAAAAATCTATTAGTTTTTATGTTTTATTCATAGATATTTCTAGTTTGCGGGAGTCCCGAGAATCGTTTTATTCTCCCGCAACCCGCACACACAGAGTGAGTGCATTACCGCTCGCACTCGGCCATCAAATCTAGTCCCGCGCGGCCACACTCTATTGCGTTGGGAGTGCACGTCTCAAGGATAGTGTCGGGATATATCGGGCAGAATAAGCTCTAGTTCACTCCTACGCTAAGGAACAGAGAGTTGTCATCCAGTCTCTTTGGTAGAGAGAGAGAGATGAGGAAAACAAACAAGCATGCAAATGGAAATTATCGCGGCCGGAAAAATTATCGAGCTAATTTTTTTTATCGTGCGATTAATTGATTTATTGACTATCGCGACAGGCCTACGTATCGCATCGGCCTCAGCTATGGAGATGCACATCCCTAATGTAGAGTGACATGCAGTCAGGGGCGGACTTGGACCAAAAAGTGGCCCTGGACTTTCTGGCCCACAGCAGCCCACCACATCCCAAATCATAACACATTGGCCCATTAATGTGCAGAATATTTTTTAACACCACTTATAGCATAACAATATAACACAATACAAAAATAAATGCTATTTAAACATTTATTTTAAGTAACACAACATATATTAGGTCATATTTGTAAAACCAAAGGGAAACAGAAGAACATTAAGACACACAACATTATTAATATAAAACTATCAAGACAGCATATCAGCTAGTCAGGGGGAGCTAGAGCCATCAGCCATTAAAACCACTCTTCGCGCCAAATGTATAATCTGTTAATTTGAAGCATTTCACAGCATCTACCTCTAATGCTTTTTTTAACCATCGGCTGAAATTGGTGCTCGTCTGCTTTTTTCCGGCCGATTCGACATGTCGGTGAAAGAGGGAACTCTGATTGGCTGTTCAGCTTAGTGAACGAGTCAGTGCACTGCACGAGAATAATAGCAAAACAGCGAGCAAAGAAGTCAAAACAGCACAGGCTGTTCTAATGTTACGTCATATTACCTGAGTGTTCCTTGGCGAATATTTAAATATTAACTTGAGAGGAGTGGAATAAAGAAAGTGTTTAGCAGGATTGATATTCAGCTTTGTTTACGTTGTGTATCTGCAGCCGGCAGCGTCGGTTTCTCTTTTTGAATGACGAATATAGACGAATTTATCTGCAGAAATAGACAGTTGTCTCATTTACACCCAGGCGCAGAACGCGCATTCTAGCTGACAGTCGCCAGTAGTTCTCTCGGTGTGTTCAAGTGCAGCTTTTTTTCCCCGCGACACAGGTGATGCGAGGCGACAACACAGTCGGCTTTCATCTGCGCTAGTTCATCGGCGTTGGCTTGGTGTGTTTCCAGGACGTGAAAGAGGGCGTGTTTCAAGATACGCAATGGAGTAGACCAAACTTCTCCAAATAGAGGTCTCTGCAGACGGTAATAGGAGTTACCAGATCAGGGGGCGAGGCCATAAACAGAGGGGCGTTTTCAACCGCGTTACCTGATTTGCCCACGTCACAGTGTGGGTAGGTCTTAGGGGTGGGGTCGGGAGAAGGGCATCATTTTCATTGCATGATTTATAAACACCCACCAGTGTGAAAACACCCACAAATTTAGAAACACCCACTTTTGTTCCGCAGAGACCTCCTACTCAACTTAACAGGGAGGGAGGGCAATACACGCACATGCATGCACACGAAATACAATCCTTGTCGGCCGCGCCCACGCGATCGATTCCCTCATCCATTTGCGTAGAAAAGAAATGTAATATTAGGATTTCCGCCATTTTATATATATATATATATATATATATATATATATATATATATATATATATATATATATATAATTTTTTTTATTTTTTGTGTGTACCGGGCCGGCCCGGTGCTCCAGATGGCCAGTCCGCCCCTGCAGTAATCAGTCTAAAAGTTTTTAATGGCATTTTCAAGTTATTGTGTAATCCTCGAGTTTATTATGAATTATTTTATGAGTTATTATTAATCCATCCTTAATTTTTTTTTTAATCCAGTGCTTTCACCTGTTGTTAATTAAAGAAATTCTTAGATGGAAACGCTAATTTTGTGTTTTTCTGTAGTGGAGACAGAGAAATTTGAATTCTGTCAGAGGGTAGTCCATTCAGAAGAATCTGAGGATCAGGGAAAGGTGGGCTACTCACCACTCTTTGCTTAAGTACTAAAACAGCACTGTCCTCCTGAAACAATGTAATATAAACATATCAGAGAAGTTTCTGCCAGTGTTAGTACTGCTTGTTGATGTCATAATTTCTCACACTTCTCTTTTCATTTGGCATGTTGGCCTTTAAAATGTTTATTGATTTAGAGATTGATTCTTTTAATATCATCATACCTTGATGAAGTGCAATTTATCCAGAAAAGCTGTCTTCTAATTTATATGCAAATTATGCAACCAGATTTATCGATGTGCTGTCTGTTCTCTGGGCACAGGTAGACACAAGACCGATCCTGTTCTGCACCAAGCCAGGCAGACACAGAGAGGTAGAGGAAAAAGAAGAGAGAGAGGAAGAGCAAGCTAACAGATCAACAGACATTTGCATGATGCATACAGACGAGAGACAAGGTGCTAGGTAAGAAATGCAATGACATTAAAATAAATTGGTGAGAGGGAACAAAAGAACACACAAACATAAACAGTTAAAATAGACTGAATGACAATGCAATTCATGGATTGTGTTTACTTGTGAATGTGTGTATTTGTTTCTTCAGGGCTTGCTATATACAGTGGGGAGAACAAGTATTTGATACACTGCCGATTGTGCAGGTTTTCCCACTTACAAAACATGTAGAAGTCTGTAATTTTTATGATACGTACTCTTCAACTGTGAGTGATGGAATCTAAAACAAAAATCCAGAAAATCACATTGGATGATTTTTAAGTAATTCATTTGCATTTTATTGCATGACATAAGTATTTGATCACCTACCAACCAGTAAGAATTCCGGCTCTCACAGACCTGTTAGTTTCTCTTTAAGAAGCCCTCCTGTTCTCCACTCATTACCTGTATTAACTGCACCTGTTTGAACCCGTTACCTGTATAAAAGACACCTATCCACACACTCAATCAAACAGACTCCAACCTCTCCACAATGGCCAAGAACAGAGAGCTGTGTAAGGACATCAGGGATAAAATTGTAGACCTGCACAAGGCTGGGATGGGCTACAGGACAATAGGCAAGCAGCTTGGTGAGAAGGCAACAACAGTTGGCGCAATCATTAGAAAATGGAAGAAGTTTAAGATGACGGTCAATCTCCCTCGGTCTGGGGCTCTGTGGGAAACTCAGAAGCGAAGACCAGGACGCTTGGTTGTATCTTCAGCAGGATTCCTTATTGAGAACACAAGCTGTCGGTAGCTGCAGTCATCAAGTCTGAACTAAGGGAATCTTACATTGTAGTTTATATACATTTCAAGGGAGTGGGATTACATAGTGGTGGCATGTAAATTACTGTAAGTACAGGAGTCAGCCCATTTCCCCAGTCCTGATCTCATCAGCATAACAGTCTCATTCAAATACCTTGATGATAATCCAATCAGCCTAACTATTCAACGACTGAGCCAGGGGCTACCAGAGCCATTAAAGACAAAGAGTCTCAGTAATCTGATTCATTTAACTTAAAATAGAGAGAACAGGACTGGCAGGAATCTCATGCTTAACAGGTGATATCATCATCATCATAACCTTAAAATGTAAAACACAATGTACAGAACTTTCTCAGTTTATATTCTATTGTATTGGAACCTAAATTAAACATTTAATACATTTGTAATACAACAGTTCCCCCTTTAAGACTTCTAATAACTCTCACAAAATACAAATTTAGACACTTTCATTTCTGTTCATATCTGTAACCTGTGATCGTTACAGGCACATAGCGCATGCTCTGTGTTGATTTTCTGTAATTGCATGCTGACACAGAAACAAACATGCAATTAGGGACCGTGAAGTTCTTATGGGTAATAGTCTTTTCTGGTTGGAACTGTCATTTTTTCGTGAGAGGCGGGAGTCATTTGTTGAATGAAACACTTGATACTGTGGACTAGGGCTGCAACAAACGATTATTTTGATAATCGATTAATCTAACGATTATTAGAACGATTAATCGACTAATCGTCGATTATTTCGCAGACTAATCAGTAAGTTTGGAACAATTATTCAGCTTTTCCAATTAGTTAAAACATTGAGTTATACATATCTAACATATTCTATACATATTATCTAACTATAATATAAAAAAAGAAAATCACTTCAGCTTTTGAAATAGTTGTTTTAATGAACTTTGAGCCAACTAAACAGGTCATTCTCTTTAAGTTTTCAGATTTCGGTCCAACTCAAATCACACTCAAATGCTCTCTAAGCATTGTTTAATAGGCCCACTGCTTTTCTTAGAACTGAAACAGAAAAAGGGACATTAACTTCAGGTCACAAAGAATGGTAAAATATTAATCTGCAAACAATTATTATAAGTATAAATTTACAATCTTTTTTTACATGACAATTGAGCTGACAGAGACGTTCTCATTCACCTTTTAATTTATAGTATGATAAAGTAACTGCCATGATATTCTTCCTATATCATAGGAAGGATATAACATCTCGTTTTGTAAGTCTTCATGATTATTGAACAAAATACAGGCAAGTGATAAGACTATAATAATACCTAATATACTAATAGTGTTACAATAATAAAAACAGCCCTGACTCCTAAGCTCGATCAAGCTTTATTCTATGCAAAATAAGTCATCACATTACTGTAATTATATTACTATTGATAATATTATTACTATTATTAGTAGTATTGCATTCTCTAATAAAGAGAGATTTGCCGCTGGTTAGTAAGCTCCAGCTGGAGAACACTCACTTCTCACCGGCTCCTCTTTTGCCGGGATGTTTCCTCTTGCACTCCAACATGCATGTTGTGCTTTTTCACGGGAGAAAAGCAAGTTGCGCCTTGCAATTATTGCACACGACAGCATTCTTGATTTGAAGTTTTGTGAAACTTTCCCAAACCTAAACCTTGCTAGTTCGGATTCGTTTGCACTGTCATAATTCGCGCTGTGTTTTCTTCTACCGCAATAGCATTTGTAAGGGCTGCACTACACTCTAGCGCTACAGCGCCGTAGCGGTCAAATCGCGATATTGCAGGCCCTTACATTAGGTCACGTGAGATCAAACGACTACTCGACAACAAAGATATTTGTCGACAAATTTTTATTGTCGACGTTGTCGACAACGTCGACTAATCGTTGCAGCCCTACTGTGGACACATAGATAGTACGCCAGTAGAAGAAACAACAGCAGAATAGCTATTTCCTTGATCCACAGCCAGGGTTTACCTAACAAGTTTCCGAACCATGAAGAATTATCTTCAGTCATCTGGTGTAATTTTGCTGAAAAATCAAGAATGTCTTGTTGGATTTTGTTCAAGTTCTCTGTTGGATCCATTAACCCTCTGGGATCTAAGGTGTTTTTGGGGTCCTTGAGATGTTTTGACATGCCCTGACATTTGTGCTTTTTTCAGTTGCTTATAAACATATCAGTGGCACATGTGAAATTACACTCTATTTAGCACAAAAAGGGCTACCATAATATGTGAGCAACATGTATGTACATGTTTGTATTTTTGAGAGAACATTGTTTATGCATGGTTATTGAAAAAACTAAAAATTAAAGTTTCTGAAATAAGGCCACAAAACACATACTAAATATGTGTCCACTAGACTTTTGACTAATGGATGTTGTCGCCTAGAGTTTTTGCTTCAAAATGATCTGAAAATCATCCTGCCTAATCATTCACATAAAACAATAGATTGTTTTAAATTGTGAAAAACATTTTTTTGTTTGGAAAGGCAATATGCGTGGCTCAACCCCCTCATGAATAATTAGGTGGTTCTCACCTGAGAAGACAATGACCCGCATAATAATGAGCCTTTCATTCAGGTGTGTCACAAAAAAGAATGCAAGGACAATATATATATATATATTAGTGCTGTCAAACGATTAAAATATTTAATCGCGATTAATCGCATTAATGTCATAGTTAACTCGCGATTAATCGCAATTAATTGCACATTTTTATCTATTCTAAATGTCTCTTGATTTCTTTTTGTCCCATTATTTTTTCTCATTTTAATGCTCATCAACATGGAAAAGTGGATCGGCTTGCTTTGTGCAAATGTTTTTTATTAAAAACAACATTGACAATACTGTGTTCAATTTCACACTAACATTCTCACTTGGAGCAAATAATCTCTCACACAATGTAACGCTGTCCATCAATAAAAGGGTGAAAGAAATATGACGAGGTCCTGATATTGACGAGGGGGCGGAGGATTCGCATCAGCTGTGTGTGTGTGCTTGGCCATGGTATTTCAGACTGGACGTGCTGCGATGATAGCTCAGTTCACAACGACAAAACACACAGATCACTTTGGTCTTGTCAATAGGACCATTTAGCAACTTTTTAAAAGTAAACTTTCCATTCAGAATCTTATTGGCATCCATTTTGGCGTCTCGCGCTCGTCATCCACTTAAAATGTAGCGTTAACCAACTATTTGGCCGGCTCGCAAGCCCAAACAAGTGTGTGCGGCGTGCCTGTTGTTTTGTTTCCGGTCTAGCTAGATCCGCTTGTGCTTTGGTCGACGAAGCAACAAAACGTCTTTGCGCGGCGCAAGCCATTGAAATGAAGCATGTGAAAAAAACTACAAAGTTTGCTAGGCCAAAAAGACCGTTAATCGCGCGATAAAAAAATTGACGCCGTTAAAATGGGTTTGCATTAACGCCGTTAATAACGCGTTTAACTGACAGCCTTAATATATATATATATATATATCTCAATGTGTGTGTGTATATGCATATACATACACACACACACACACACACACACACACACACACACACATATATATATATATATATATATATATATATATATATATATATATATATATATATATATATATATATATAATCAAAATATAAATGAAAGTCAAAAGCACATTTTTAGTCATACCTGGAAACACATCCTGGTCAAATAGGTTATATGGGCCATTCTATAGAATTGGTTCAAAGTTAGAGTTGGAAACATCCTGAAAAGAAAATTGTCGTTTTCTAAAAATGTCTTATAAAGTATTATTTTTTAATGTAGGCCAATACATTTTATCATACATATTTCAAAGTTAAGGATTCATTATTTTGATATAGCTTGCATTGGAACAAACACTTTAACAGTTGATTATTTTTGACAAAACATACTATATATTTAACATATGAGCAGAAACTGTCTAACAAAAGCTTATTTGATGTCTATTTTATAGTAAAAACTTTATAATCTATCCAAAACTAGTCAACAAAATATTGTCTTTTATTTCGTCTGTAACAGTGCGCATCTGTGCATTCATACACACACACACACACACACACACACACACACACACACACACACACACACACACACACACACACACACACACACACACACACACACACACACACACACACACACACACAGACACCCGATTCATTTAAACAGTCTTTTTGGTTTTACAGATACTATTCTATATCGCGATT